CTGTCTTCAGCTGTCACTATCATGACATTATATCTGACCAGACAGGCAATCTACTCTAAGCTAATCCTGCAGGCAGCTCTTTCAAGCCCTGTACTGTAACTGTCATGCATTCTGCTATAAACATATACCTGAATTTTCCTGTAGAACAGAATAGAATTATACATGAATTTTTTCCGTTTTGATATTGGAATTATAAATCGGCCATCGAAAAAACAACAATAAAATGCTAATTTGGCCTAAATGTATATTTTTTTATTTGAAAGTTCAGCCCCCACATTAAGTTATTTTATCAAGCTTTGTGTGTAACAAAGTGAATGTTCATACATAAATCATACCTGCTTACTTCCCATAGGATGTTTGATCAGTGCATACGATCAAATAGTAGCATTAGAATGAGGCCACAAAATGTAAACTTTCACTGCTAAAATATTTCTCCTGTGAGGCAAATACTGTATGATATACATTATTTATATTATATTATATCTTCTTACAGATTGTCAGAGAAACACTTTCTCAGCAGGTCTCTTCTACACCTTCCTAAGACGAATGACAGCATTTTTAAATTTGGAAACACATTTCACATAATATTGCAAAACTTGAATTAGTGTTTTACATGTAAAATTGCTGTTGTTGACACAGGAGCTGGAAACCCTTGACAATGGGAAGCCATACGCTGTTTCTTACACTGTGGACCTGCCCAATGTGGTGAAATGCTTCAGGTAATAAATGCACAACACAGGTTTTTATGGCATTTTAAAGCTTCATTGTGTGGCCAAAGGGAAACAAAGTCCAAAATACAAGACTAATAGAACATTGCCCTGCTACTTCTTACTGATGCCTTCGGCTGCCTCAGTCTTGGTGGTCGATACTGTTACATCTAGCTCTTTACCGTAATCTCACAGGTAAGACATTAATAAGATGAAGTTAATAAAAAACACTTTTGGTGTAAGCACAAATATTGTTAAGGTGTCTAAACCAGTTATGTTGTGTTTAGGTACTACGCAGGCTGGGCTGACAAATGGGAAGGAAAGACAATCCCCATCGATGGAGATTATTTCTGCTACACCAGACATGAACCTATTGGAGTCTGTGGACAGATCATACCGGTGAGAGAGGTGGGGAGTGGGATGGAGGGAGAAAATGGCAGGGAGAAAAAGATTAAAATATTGTACATCCCATCAAATAAAAATAAATATACAAAATATGGAAGAAATTCTAGCATCCAGTAGCATACAAAATACAAACATACAATAAACATACATTAAACTAAGATTAAAAACCCTGACTTTAAGAACACCCCCTACCCCATTTCCTTGTGATAGCTTTTTTACCAGCTATTATCAGTATTTTTACCAGGTACCTTTCACCTGCATGTACATTTTCCTCTCTGAGATTACACAAATAGAGTACCTTACAGCACATAGGGATCTCATATCTCAATACCTTTTGCAAAGTTTTATGTGCCATCTTCCAAAACAGTTGTACCTTATTGCATTCCATTTTCTCCAGCATGGTAGATTCACACTCAAATATTTACTCTTGACCTTGGGCGTGATAAAGAATCTGACCAAATTTTTCCAAGAGAACTCCCTCCATATCCGCGAATTGGTGGATGTTTGATGCATTTTCCACATATTTAGCCAATCTTTGTCTGAAATTTCTATGTTGAACTCTGACTCCCACTTTTCTTTTATATAATTAGTTGTATTCTTGTTTATTGTCAATTTTTGGTACAGTGGTGATATCATTCTAATTTTGGTGTCCTTGTAAATATTAATTATTGTTTGTATCACACCATTCACTTCCGTGGAGGGATCTATCTTGATTTCTTTCTTAATAATCTCTTAGTTTTAAGTACCTATAAAATTCATGTTTACCCAGATCATATTTGGCTCTCATGTTCTGAAAACTCTCCAGCCCCCCGTCTTTCTCTAGAGTGCACCATGCCGTAATTCCCTTAATTTCCCACTGTTTGAATCCCTTGTCATAACTGGCAGGGTTGAAATTACTGTCAGATGCAACCCACTAACAAATGTATGTCCTTATTTATCCCATAATTTTTAATAATTCTATACCATAATTCCAGAGTGAACAATGTAATTGAGTCAATTTTACTTTTAATTTTATTGTATGTTTCTTTATCTCCGATCACATTCTGAATTGGGTATCCTCCAAACTCTTTCTCCATTTCTTTCCACTTTGCTGTGTAGTCTGGTTTACACCAGCAGAGTAAATATCTCAGCTAGGCTGCAAAGTAGTATTCTTTCAGTCTTGGTAGACCCATTCCCCCTCTGTCTTTTGGCAGCTGGAGAGTTTCAAAACTAATACTAGGTTTTTTACCTGCCCAGATAAACATTGATATTATTCTGTTCCAGCTCACAAACTGGGTTTGAGAAACCTCTACTGGTAGAGAGTGAATGAAATAGAGGAGCCTAGGTAGCACATTCATTTTGATTATTTAAATTCTCGAGTTAAAATCTAGCGCAAGGGAGTGGCCCATCTTCCAATGTCTTTTTGTATCTCTTGGCTTATTTTGTCATAGTTTTCTTTATATAGTTTAGATAATCCTTTGTGATGGAGACCCCCAGATATTTTATTTTCTTTAGGTTCCAATTAAGATGATATGAATCCTGAATCTCTTTTGATGGAGTATAGTTAAATGGTAGTATATGTGTTTTCAATATATTAACTTTATATCCTGAGAGGTGCCTGTACGTTTCTAAAAGTTTCATCAGTACAGGGAGTGATTTGTTTGGTTTTTCTAAGAAGGCTATGACATCATCAGCAAAAAGTCCTATTTTGTGTTCTGTTCCGTTCACCATAACTCCCTCCAGTTCTTCGTTCTGCCAGCCGTTGTGCCAGTGGTTCTACGAAAAGAGCGGTAGACCTTTGCAAATTGATTTTATCAGTCAGACTTCCATTTATTTTAATTTTGGCTCTGGGCTGTTGATATAGTCTTTATGCATTGTACTGATTCACTGTTAAATCCAAATCGTTCTAGCGCTTGATATAAAAATCTCCAATTCACACAGTCGAATGCTTTCTCCGCGTCGATGCTTACTAATATAATGCTTTGTTTTTTCTGTTGTGCTTCATCTACGATATGCAAAGTTCTTCTGATATTGTCCTGTGTTTGCCTTCCGCTTATAAATCCTGTTTGATCTTCCTCTATAATTTCTGTTATGAAAGTATTCAATCGTTTTGAAATAATTGTTGTGTATATTTTATAATCCACGTTTAGCAACGAGATTGGTCTGTAATTTCTACAGTGCTCTTTGTCTCTTCCTTGTTTGTGGATGACTGTAATGATTGCTTCAGTCCAGGATGGAGGTATTTTATTGTGAGCTCATCTTTGAACATTTTATACCACTCTGCGGGGTATCCATCACTGCCTGGAGATTTATTATTTTTTAATGCACTTATTGCATCATTTACCTCTTCCTTTGTAATATCAGAGTCGAAGGCAGGTCCAATGAATTTAGTAACACTCTCATTTCCTCTTCATCCGCAGAGTCTGGCTGTGTATATAGTTCCTCATAGTATCTCCGGAAGATTTTCTCTATCTCCTCTGGGTTGTGGGTTAACTCACTCGTATTTGGATCTCTGATTTTACATATATTGCTTAGCACTTGTTGTTTTCGTATTCGTTTCGCTAGCAATTTAGTAGCCTTCGAGCCTGCTTCATAGTAGTTCTGTTTCAGAAACTTATTCTTTTTTTCAACTTCTTCCAAAAGCAAGTCATTTATCTTTGTTTTCAATATCTTGATCTGTTGATAAGTTTTTGTATCGTTTGTATTCTGATATTCCTGTTCCGATTCCCTCAGATTGTCTGTATATTTTTTGTATGCCTCTAATTTAACTCTTTTTACATGTGCTGCTTCAGCTATCAGTTTTCCCCTAATGACAGCCTTCATGGCATCCCACAGTATTGTTGGGTCCACCTCTCCATTGTTATTTTCCTCAATATATCTTTTTATTTCTGCTTTTACTTTGGATCTGAAGATTAGTCCCCTCAGGCAGCTGGAGTTCGGTTTTTAGCAGTTGTTCCAGGTATTTGGCAGCGGAGTTCCCTTCCGTGTCCTCCGGTATGCCACAAATTTGGATATTGTTTCTCCTTGATCTCCCTTCAAAATCCGTCACTTTCTCTCTCAACCGGTCTGTCTGCTCCCACATCTGCGCCAGTGCATCCTTCGCATTGAATTGAATAGCTCTAGCAGCTCTAGTAGCACTAGCAACGCTCTCGGAGATTTCTTCCATTACAAGTTGTTTTTCAGCTTTGTTTGGCTTTTCAATGTTTTTCCGGCTTCCTCGTTTGTTTCCTCCACTCATGCCTTGCTTTCATCTGTCGAGTTACATTTATTTGTGGATTTTTTAAACCGCCTTGGGAGAGGTCGTTACCTAAGCGTCTACCCTCTCCGCCATGTTCCCGGAACCCAAATTAGATTTCTGTATAAAGATAAGTCATGTTCCTCTTCAGCTAGTTGACTTGCTCAATCTTGAATTATGTCTACACTAGTTTGTAGAGATATGGTATGTAAACATGCATGCCTCTTCCCCTAACTTAAGGCTTCTTTTCTCAGTGTCACTGGAAGTATCTTAACTTGGGAAGCAGTAGCTATGCCTATCTGCTGTAGTCCCTCCAACCCACACATAAGAACAAACAGCACATGCCATCAGTGGGGAGTATTTGCACAGAGGTTGCTTTTTGATGATACTGTAGATTGTACTTTAAGGCACAATAGCTTGTTATGTTAATACAGTGTTGCCCAGACTTCTCTGCAGATGTTGTTGATGTTTATCTTCCATTGAGTTCTTCAGTTGTTTCTATGTCTCTCATGGTTAATTTGTAAGGTACAGAATTCTGAAACAAGCTGTCAGCTGATGACAATTGGAGTTGCAGATTAATGTATTTAAGGGCTTATCAGGTGCCAAAACAGTTGCATCTGATAAGATAACAGTTTGTGCTCACAGACAGGATTTTACAACAAGGTAACTATTTAATCTTTCATGATGACGATTGTGAGGTAAATGGTAGAAATAGTGTTCTTGTTACAAAGTAATCTACTAGGATGCACACACACTCTACTTTAGAGAGGGCTGCATTTTTTCACAAAGGGCTCAAGTTGGTGTGAACGCAGCCATAACACAGCCAGAACGCTGAAATCATTCAAGGTGCACAGTGATAAAAAAGCGATGTCACATTTCCTATGTGGGTAATGAATATTGATCAGAGCAATCAGAAAATATAAACAATGAGTGACACTACAGTTTGTAGTCTAGTCGTGTAATAATGGACTTGGGAATGGGAAATGGAAATAAAGTTCTCCTTCTCTCCCTGCAGTGGAACTTTCCCCTTTTGATGCAGGCCTGGAAACTTGGCCCTGCCCTTGCAACTGGGAACACTGTGGTGATGAAAGTTGCAGAGCAGACACCACTCACAGCACTCTATGTAGCCAGCCTGATTAAAGAGGTACTTTTCATAATTTATACTACATCAATTAATGTGACTTACCAGAAAAGTCATGTTTTCTTTCTTTTTTTTTAATACAATATTTACACTTGACCATTCAGTAGGTAAAAAGATTGACTCAAAGTAGAAAATTCTGTTCTTATTTAGCCTTTGATTTTAATGGTCTTTCTCTTCTCCAGAGCTTGCACTGGTGTGCTGTGTTCCCAAATTAGGAAATGCTGTCTAAGATTGTATGATTATAAACTCTTTCTTTGTTTATCAGGGCGATGTATCATAGTTGTTAGCCTCAGTATTATGGGAAATGAAAGATTTCCTCTGACTTCCCTAATCAGATGTTGAAAATGTTGATACAGCACATAGGGATCTCATATCTCATAGATGTTGTTATGAACTATGTAAAAGCTGGGTAATTAAATAATTCTACTACAGCATAAGAATTAGGCCACTACAAATACAATCAGAGTTACAAAGGCTTAATACAGGCAATGAACCTTCAAAACCTTTAACATAAAGGTTCTTGAAACTATTTGTACTATTTGAGCAGTTTTGCAGTGGAAAAAATCAAAATCTGTCCCTGCATTTATCTCCGGATAGTTACTACAATAGTCTACTTATCTCTTCTTCTCTTGGTCTGAGAAGACTGCAGTTCATTCATAATGCTTAAACTAGAGTTTTACCAAGAAAAAAGATGAACTAATTAATTACCAAATTCTCTCAAGCTTTTGTTGATGTTGTTGTGATTCTGTTTGCAGGTGGGTTTTCCTGAAGGTGTTGTGAATATCTTGCCTGGCATGGGACCATCAGCTGGCGCTGCTATTGCAAGGCACATGGATGTTGACAAGGTGGCCTTCACTGGCTCCACAGAGGTGGGACAATTGTCTGCACAGACCTCTGCACTCTGCAGCTTCTACTCTGCTGCAATTGCTGATTTAACGCCTTTCTTTTGTTCATGCAGTTATTCAGGACTTTTTCATCTGAGTTTTGTTTTTACTCTGTAACAGATTACTCTGTAACAGAAAAGCGACTATTCAAACTCACTTGGAGGTTCACTCACAGCCCATTGTAAATTGCTATTAGTAAATTGGTGATGTGCAACTATCCACATAGACTGTATACTGAACTGTATTTTTTCCTAAAGGTACCTTTACTAAATTGAACTTACTTTAACTTAAACTAAGTTGATTTAAAGGGTGAAGAATTTTGTGTTTTATCTGGGTGAGGCTTGAATACTGTTTTTAGGCACTCTGTATATTCAGTATGTATGGTCACTGTGCTTCTCTGCCTGTATGGTATCTTTGCTATGAGTCAGCTGTGACTGTCAGAGAGAAAAAAGAACAAATTATGTTTAATTAACACATTTTAAAAATAAGAGAAAGACATGAATTTGAGTTAAGGACAAACATCTTCATTATCTCACTGAATGAAACAAAAGAAGTAAATGCAAGAAGAGAGAAATGTCACAACTCACCTGCATCCTGTCTGTATGTCCATCAGGTAGGTCATCTAATTCAGCAGGCTTCAGGCAGCAGTAACCTGAAGAAAGTCACTCTCGAACTGGGAGGAAAGAGTCCTAATATCATCCTCTCTGACGCCAACAGTATGTATTCTGTCTGTGTTTCTAAAGTGGCAAGATACTGTATGCTACTGTTTTTACTGTGCTTTCCGAGGCTGAAATACTATCCAGGCATACTTTGCTTTTAGAAATCCCATGAACTACTCTCTACTCAGTGCCTACTAGGGCTGCACAATTAATTGGAATATTATTGAAATCTTTTGGACAGCCCTAGCGTAATAATCGCCTGGTGTCAGAAGACTAGCTCATGGCTGGTTAGCTTGGTTAGCTCTGACTAACTGCAGCTGTATCCCTGCTAAACTCATCAGTGGTTACTGTCACTCTGGTTGGTGCTACCAACCACATCACACATTCTGTAGCCATAAGGCCACACCCCCTACATTGTTCTCCTGTGTCGTCCTTTGCTGCATTTTTAAAATTTGCTTGGAGGGAGAGAGCTAGCAGAATTTAGGGATTTAGTTGCACTTTAAATGTCATGTCAACCCCTTAAATCTTGACTTCAATCTTATGCATTATGGATATATAAATCCATATAAATGGCATTGATTATGACGTGGATTATTGTTACCTAACAGTGATCCAGTGTACTGTCATGCTGAGTACACTTCTCCATCACTACAGTAAGGTGAGAAATAAAACCACTGGATGTCAGCAAAAACAAGATTTTCACTTGCTATCAAATGCTCTTTAAAGTCCTGAAATGCATAATAAGACATATTGACATAATGGTGGAGAAGTGTTTTAGTATTGTTTATTTTTAAGAATATTCCTTACGAGAATTAAGGTTGTCTTTGTCATTTCCTCTTTCAGTGGAAGATGCAGTGGAGCAGTCCCACTTTGCTTTGTTTTTCAACCAAGGCCAGTGTTGCTGTGCTGGCTCCCGAACCTACGTCCAAGCAGACATCTATGATGAGTTTGTGGAGCGGAGTGTTGAACGAGCTAAGAGACGAGTGGTGGGAAACCCTTTTGACTTAAAGACTGAGCAGGGACCTCAGGTAACACACACCACTGTCACTCACTGGTAAGAAACATTTACCTTTTTTATATACTGCCAAAGCCTGGCTCAAGGGTAAGACAAACAGGAGACTATAACACATTACTTTTTAACTAAATATGTATTATTAAGTATAAGTTAAACAGTGATAATATAAAGAAATACATATAAAAATATAAATGTCAATCAGTACACCAGTAGTGTAAAGAGGGCTAACATAATGTGTGTCTGATAAGTTTTTTCTGCGAAAGAATTATAATTTCCACATTAAAATCTACTCCTTCTACCCCATCACAAAAATCTAATTGTGTTCATTTTTAAATTTTTCCTGCTGGACACAAAATGTATCCTACTTCACTGTAAAGTCCATTCTTAGTTTCTACGCCACTGTATAAGTTGCATATTGGACCAGGAACATCCAATGCTTTGTCTCCTGGAGAGTGTGAATTACCTGGCATGCACTCCTGTCCAGGTAGATCAGGAGCAGTTCAACAAGATTCTTGGCTACATCAGCAGTGGGAAGAGAGAGGGAGCCAAGCTAATGTGTGGAGGAGGAGTGGCTGCGGACAGAGGATACTTCATCCAACCTACTGTATTTGGAGATGTCGAGGACAACATGACTATTGCCAGGGAGGAGGTAGGATTGTATTGAAGATTTAAAATGCCTAAATAAAAAGAAAGCAAACAAAGAAATAAACCGAAATACAATACATATTGTACAGTGAGGCTATTGAATTCTTCCACAACTGTTCATTATTCAAATTAATATTTTTTATTTTAAAATATTATTAATTTGTATGAATGAATTATCTATCTTACTACAATGTAGTAGTAGTAGTAGTAGTA